ACGTTAAGCTAATGGTATTGCGAACTTGCTAAGTTACTTTATAACTGGATTACTTTAGTTTACATTATTGCTATTACTTCTTAAATGACATTATGATATATAACATAGGCACACATCTTTGCCTTATAATCATATATGGCGTTACTTAAAATAATACACATGGGGCACGCGCTAATGACTACATTACCGATTACGTTATGTTAAAAGTACACATAGTATCACGTATTACACTCATTTATTAAATTACTTACATTACACTATTACTTACATTACTTACATTACACAGTTACTTAAAACAGTAGAACTCTAACAGTTACGGTTACGGTGAAAAAATTTAGAAATTTTCGAACGACAACAACCACTTTTTCATATGAAATTGATTGGCACATTGCAAAGCCATAAATGTCGTTAGAACGATACACGTATGACGAAAATTGCCGGCGTAAAATATTTTCAAAGAGGAGCATTGTAGAGGACCAGTAACAAAACAAGAGAGGAGAGGGGGAACTTTTTTTGTATTGGAATTAGAAGCTTTCGGCACGCCCACCTTCGCAGAAGATAACGCATTGCATGCGGGAGATTATTGACAACAATGGTGAACGTAACATCGCAAGACGACTCTGTAAATAACTTCCCGTTTTATAGCATCTTTCAGTTCTCGAGTTCATCTTTCAGTTCTGATAAATCTCGTGGGTTTGATGTGTACACCTTACATTTGACAAAATAGCAAAATCAGAAATCCATAGGAGGGAAGTCAAAGGATCGCGGCGGTTACGAAACTGCAGAGACTGTGATCTCCAAAGTGTCGTTGCAGAATATACCGGACACATGTGGCGACATGACTATCTTACTCCCCACGTATAACTGCACCTTTCAATATTATACTATAACTGTATAACTGCGCATACATAACGGTGCATGTATAACTGTATTATACCCTGCGCATGCATAACTGTGAACACAATGTATTAATGCTGTAATACAATTTAACTTCCAGTACGAATAAGCATCAACATCAATGTAAATATCTACTGCCCATGTATGACTAACGCATTGCGTTTTGTTCCGCATGTTAAACATAACGTGCCTAGGTACGATCATGTTAAACATAGTGCGCTTTGATTCTCCACTGCTCTCATGTGGTTTTCGTTTTCTAATATAAGTAGTTTTATGTGTTAATGTAATGTGTGTGTTTAACGTAATGTTTATATATTTTTATGCTGTTTAACGTCGTATTGTGTGTACTTTCTACCGTGTACTGTTATGTTTTGTATATTTTGTGTTGAACTGTGTTTACTCTATGCATATTTATATGTCATTATTCCAAATGTGTATGCTTAAGCTGCATGTATGACTTACCATTAAGATGCCAAATCGTATGTCTATCAAGTATCCATCGTACACTTAAGACGCCTCTGTTTGGCCAAGTGAACAAACTCATTTTAATATCTCAATAACCTCCCCGGGCGGGCCTCTTGCTGCTCCAGGGAGTTGTTGCCTATAGGTAGGGAAGGGCGTGGAACATATGCCTGTTTACCTTTGTTAAACATCAGGCGTCCTCGTCCTCCGTCACATGTCAATGACTACCATCTTGCATCCATACAGTGTCCCATCATCTTGCATTCATACAGTGTCATTAACGCCATTTCGCTGCTGCAATTCTTGAATTACCTAATTCTGTAACATTGTTGTACACCGAGCACTGATGATGGAGCACATGTTGGTACCTGTAGAAATGACCTCTTCGTAGAAGTGTGCAGAGTGCTTCAATAAACCTCTTCTCTATTTAGCTAGATTTACTATAAGCAGTTATTATTTTTACGATATAAAGGGTTAATGACCAAATTAAATATCAGGTAACCAAGAAAACTCACACAATTTTCGTCACAAAACAAAAAAGTCTACGAAAACCTTAAACACTGATTTCGTTCTTCGAAGTATAATCACCATTGGCTTCAGTTACATGTTCCCCTCGAGACACAAGCTTGCAAATGCTCTGGAGTCTAAAACTCTTTCTGGAATCCAAAAATGCGATACAGTTTTTGTGATATCGTCGCGCCTTCGGAACTGATGTTCCCGTAGATAGTTATCCCTGTACGAAAACAGGTAATATAGTCAGATAGGGCGATATCTGGTCAATGGTAGCTGAAGCAGAACTTCCCAGCCCAATGTTCTGGTCAACCCTTTGGTCGTTTTTTGCCGTACGAGGTATGGCATTATCGAGGAGACGAAGAACTCCTCTTCTGTTGATTAGTGTTGGTTGCTTCTGGTGCAGTGTCGCTGAAATTCTTTGCAGTTTTGAGGCGTAGACCTCGGCTGTTATGTTTTTTCCGCTTTCTAAATATTCTTAGTGGAATATGCCAGCGCTGATCCACCAAACACACACCATTACCTCCTTTTAATGAATGTCCCGTTTAACTGCCAATTAAAACGAACCAGAAGTCGACCAACGATATTTTCTCTTCCGGTTATCATACATGATCCAGGTTTCGTCACATATCATGATTTGGTCCAGAAAAGGGGCTTTACCATGGCGCGACAGCAAAAACAAGGAGATGTTCAAATGTTGAAGCTTGTTCTCCTCAGACAGGACATGAACCCTTACTTAGTTTCAAAGTAATACCAAGGTTATAAAGATCTGATCGAAAGGTTTCATCAGATACTTCAGACTTATGTGGAAGTTTTTGGCAGGTTTGATGAGGTCTTCAAATAATTATGTCTGAAATATCAGTTCGATTGGTTGAACGGATAGGCCCCTAAGGTTTCGTAATTTTGGAAAGATTTTTAATAACAATCTGTGCTATATAGTGCGCGCGTGTGTGTGATGGGGTTAGGGGGGGGAAGGTGAAACCCAATTCACTTTTGAGTCATGGCCGAGAAAGACTGTTGCTTACGTGACGACTGGTGCGAAAATTACAACTAGCTTGATGCTTAAAACATCATTTTTTTCACAAGAATAATTATTCAGAAATACATATATGGTTAAAATTAGTACAACACTAGGGCTGGTAAATACGCCCCAGAATTTCGATATACGTAATTTACATTTTAAACAATGAAGAAGAAGGCGAAGCCAGAGACGTTGTTTATTCAGGCAACAGCAAGAGAAAAAAAGGCAATGCGCATTCACTCCGGTCCTATTTATAGGTGGAAAATCATTTTGTTAATCCTAAGCAGGGACTGGGTAAACGATATCACAATGCAAGAGAAACTGCAGGGAAATAACAACTTAATATGCGGCAGAGGGGCGCAAAATGGTGCAAAGTGTGCCAGAAGACCTCCTATTTGCGTCCCGCTCACTGCAACATACAAAAAAACACATTTAGTATGGTGCAGACAACTTGCGCCCTTGGACCACACTTGAGTGGACTTGCCTTGCTTTTTACACACGAGTTATTCAGCCTGGACATTGACTCTCGGTGTGCCTGTATCTGGAAAGAGCATGGAACACGATGCCATCCCTTCTTCATCAGAGAAAAGGATCATTACGGTAGTGGAGGTGCAATGGTTTGGGCAGGCATTACGCTGAATGGCCGCACATCCCTGCAAATGTTCGACAATGGCTTCCTGATTGCTATGAGTACAGAGAGGAGATCTTGGTGCCTAGGTTCGATTTTTCAGGGGCGAAATTGCTCCTGGGTTCCAGTAAATGGACCACAACGTTCGTCTACATAAGGATCAGTTGGGAGACGACTACCTGGATAGTAATGACATTCGCCACAGGAATAAGATCAGGGGATTGGCCAGCCAGATTGCCTGATCTTAATCCTATAGAGCATGTGTGGGATGCTCTTCAGAGGGCAATTTCATCTCGCAATCCCCCTCCGAATTCCATCCCGGAGTTGAAAGCTGCCTTGGTGCAGGAGTGGGACCGACTACAATAGGGACTCCTCAAATGTCCCTTATTCAGCATATCATCACGCTGCACGACTTGTCTTGACTGTGAGAGGGGCCCATAGCCCAATATTAGACTCATCTTCAGTTTCATATCGTAACGTCGATTTTGATTTTCATTATGAGCTTTTCAATCTCGGGTACATAAAATTACTTTTTCAATTTTGGGTACATAAAATTACTTTTCCAATCTTGGGTACATAAAATTACTTTTTCAATCTTGGGTACATAAAATTACTTTGAATTACGTACATAAATTACTTTTTTTACCTTTACTTCTTACATCTCTTTCTATGTTATAAATGTATATTCTTACCAAAGTTCATTAAAATCTGTCCATTCGTTTTTCAGAAATTTGATGAAATGTGCAAATTATCTTAATTTTTCGCACGCGTGTACATATCAAGAAGTACCAGTTAAATTATATATATATATATACATATATCTGTAATAATATGACTTGAAGAAAGTTGCAACAGAATGACGATGGTTCTGTGCATTATAACTTGAAGATACTTTATCGTGTAGCTAGAAGGATGACACTCGAAGACAGGCATGGCCACTGATTAGGAAACATAATTTTATTCTCTTAATAATGCAAGCCTTTGTACGCATAAACAGGTTCACAAGCATCATTTAAGGGTGTAACATACACTCTACAATTTTGTATAGCTTACATCCATTAAACAATGGGCGAAAATGGAAAAATAAACTCTGCGTGGCTAGCGGCAAAAGATGCAGCGGGATTGAGAAGCGGAAGCAGAGAAGGAAGGGAAATGCGCTGCAATTATCTGTAATTAATGTATTATTTGAAATTTGTATTATTTATATTTGTATTATTAATGTATTGCTGCAATTAATGTATTATTTGAAAGACATATTTTTCAGTCATCTACGCAACAGTGTTGTCGGCCATGACTCAAAATGAATTGCTTGTTTTGTGAATTGTTCTTCCGCTAAAATTACAATATTATACACACACATATATACATATATACATTAAAAATTCCATACATTGTACACGAAACATTCCTTTATGTGTTTCATGTATTATATAGGAGAAATTACACATTTCTTTCTGATTGCATTATTTTACGTTTCTTTAGGAGTGAAACTTCAGATTCTCGTCCTTCCGTTTTGAAAGTGACGCTTCTGTTGTGTATCTGTTACTCGGCCAATATTGGAGGAACGGGAACAATAACTGGAACATCGCCTAATCTTGTGCTTAAAGGTTTCCTCGAAGAGTAAGTTATCTCAAGTATTTCCCACATTATAAAACCCTTGTAGAGTCATTAGGTATTTTTGGAAGCAGACAAGATGAAAAATGAGCAACGCCTTCACCGGGAATCGAACCACGGACCTCTGGAATAAGCGCCCAGTGTGCAGACTACCACACCACGGAGGCATGCTGAGAAGGAGGGAGAAATACCCTATACCCTAACCTGCATGCATAGTTAAAAATCATATAGCTAATGGGTTTTACAACGCTTTTAAGCTGGCATCATTTGCGTAATCGTTTTCAGTATTTTTTTCTAAGGACAAGGGAAAGTTCTGTATCTCTCATTCTACTGGGCCGATTGACAAAATTCAAATTGAGTTTTTCATGTCTCGAAAGCACGACTTAGGATATATATTAAATTTATATATAACATTGTTCTAAAACAGGTACTTCGACACAAAATCGGATTTTTTTCTGAATTAGCATACCAATTTTGTTTTTCCATATTTCGATTCTACGACTCAAATTATGTCTAGATATTCAATTTTGTAAAATTTGAGGCGAAATTTGCGGAGAAATTCAAAAATTTATCTTGGCGTAATTTTGTTTCAGTTTGCGCCAAGGATAATTCACTTGGCGAACATTTTAACATATGGCAACCTATTTTCCTTTCCCTTTCAATATGCCGGAGCGGGAAAAAAAAGGACATCCTTCTTACCTTTTTACATTGTTGCATGAGCTGGAAAAAGTGACAAGAGCGGGAAAAGTCGCTCCTAATTTCAAACACTTTTAGCAAAGTGTCTAAACCACATTTGATGTTTTATCGCTTTCAACAAATATGCCAAATTTCAAAACGCGCCAATGTAGAATCCGTATATTTTCGAAAGGAATAAAAAAAACTGTAATTTTTTCCAGGGATGCTTAAAGAAAAATTTTATATTATACAAACAAAGTTTTTGAAAAATAACCCTTCTTTACACCAATTTTTTCAAATCATCGAAAAAGAGGCATTTCATCGGGGAGATCCCGTATTTCGAATGTTAAAGGAAGATAAAATAAATTTATAAACAAAAAAAGAGATTAATAATAAATATACCAAACAATTAACATTGAGGAACTAATAATTTGTTTAAAAAACTATTCTTCATTCTTATCATTTCTGCGATTTTTTTGAAACTTGGCAGTATAATGGCGTAATATTAATTTGTGAGTGTGTCGTTAAATTGAAATATGGGAAAAAAAAAAATGGTATATTATATGACAGACAACTCTCCGCTTTTGGGTCAATGTATAGTAACCCTATATATAACAATGTTTAAATATAAACTAATACATATCCTAGAGTTCGCAATGGGTATCTTCGAAACATGAATAAAAACGTAAACGAAACGCAATCTCTCCGACATGTCGTTCAATAATCGTCGGCGCAGATGAAACGTGAGATATCAGAACGTGGAACTGATACTGTCCCCTTTTCTTTTTTATAACTGTATTCGTCCTTTCTTCCCTTTTGCCTGTCTTTTTTTTTTGTTTTAGTTCTTTTTTTTCCCTTTTCCCCCATGCTTTCCAATTTCCATGACTGGTTACTATGATGGTCTATATCTATTTTTATTTTCCTTTTCCTTTCCTTATTCACTATTTCCTTCTTTCTTTACCTCCCTCGTCCCATTTTGTTCCTTTTTGTCCAATTTTTGTTCCTTTTCTTTTTGTCCCTTTGGTTCCGTTCTTCCTTTCTATTTTCCGCTTTTCGTCATTATTTCCTTGGTATTCACTTTGATGCCTTCCCCTTCATTTAATTGTCTCCCTCCGTTTTTACCGCTCTCTGTCCTGTTCGCCCTGTGAGGGGTTTCGCTATTGTTTCTTCCCCTGGTTCCCCCTATTTTGCCAATTTTCCTTTTTTCATTTTCAGAAAATCACCCATTGGACAGATAGACGGAGGGTCAGTAGCCGTGGCTCAGCTCCGTCACATGGGTTCCGCTCCCCCGGACGGAGCGCGGCCCCCGGACGACGTGGGGGGAGGGGAGGGGTGGGGGTGGAAGGGAAGGTAGGGGGGGGGGGGAGGGGGGGGGGGGGAGGAGGGAAAAGTGGTCTCATAGGTTCGGAGGATGGGAAGGAGACGAGGAAATGCGGGGGGGGAGGAGGGAAGGGCGGCATGGGGTGTAGTGAGGGTGGGAAAGGAAAAACACAACTCAGGGGGGAAAAAAAGGGAGGACAGGAGTGATATGCGGATACAATGGTGCAAGGAAAGAAAAACAAAAACCATTGGATGCAAGGGGAAATCAGGGGGCCAGTCGAACCCCGTGGGGCGGCCCATACCCGAGGAAAAATAGGGGGGCTAGGGAGGTCAAGGGGGAAAAAAGAGCCAACATAGTCCACACTGAAATGGGAAAGAGAAACGGGGAGGACGGAAAAGAGAAAATAGAAAAAAAGAAGTCACCTATAGAAAGGAAAATACACACCAAAGTACTAATCAAAGGACCTCGAAAAAAACAAGGAAAAAGAGGGGGCGGGGGGGCGGTCGCCTACTCCCGAGGAAGAAAGGAAAAGGGGGAAAGAGAGGAAAAAGCAAGGAGACCTCCAGATACAACGCCTTCAACTCAGATGAGTCCTCGCCATTCAGACGCTAGCACGCAGCATTTTGCATTTACACCGCCGGACATTTATCGAACTAATTCAACGCCAGACGTATCTGAAGACTCTTTACTTGCACCTTAGAGATATATTTATCTCAATTACGAACTTTGCAACGTTAGGGTAGAAAAAGATATGCCATTTTCGTACGTACTAAACACAGGATGTGGTTTTTTTCATAACCCGGGTGCCTGCAGACATGTGTTTCTAACACCTGAGTCTTCCACATCCAATTTTATAAATGACGGTCATATAGTTCGCTTTTTCCTTCTGTATCGTATGAATAATTCATTTATTTTTTCATTTGGAATCAAATGAATAAACACAGGGTGACCAAACTAAAATTGGTCTGGAAAATATGTGTCATTCTGACACTAAATTTATAAGGTATTTTCTCCCCCCCTTCCAGCATACCTTCGTGGTACAATTTGGTGCACGCTCGGAGCATATTGCGGATGTCTAGGTTCGAGTTCCGGCGACGGCATTGCTCATATTTCATGTACTTCTACCAAAGAACGTCTATGTAAAGAAGGAAAGGCACCATAGACGTAATGTAACCCTTTTTTCACTTCGACGGCCGCTAGAAATAAAGGGCCAATTCGCCAAGGGATTGGCGACTGAACCTTTGGCGAGAATTTTCCCTTTTGATTACTGCCGAATTTTTCCACCTGCGGCCGAGTGTACAGTAAACTGCGGAACTCGGGTTAAGATGATCGTTCTTTACTTTTCGCGATAATTTTAAACTCGAATTTCGTGCTTTTTTTTTTTTTTTTTTTTTTTTTTTTTTTTTTTTTGCTTTATCTAGTTGTCGTTTATTATACCATATCGCATTGATGTCTGATTTTATTCGTCAATATGTAGAGAACACGTTTAATCTTTGATAACATGACGTCAAACCGTTCGAACTCGACATCAGCTTCGAGCTTTGGCGCTTTTTGTCGACAGATATTTCACGCATGCGCAATTGTGTCCTTTATCGTTCGGAGGGAGCTACTCCTGCTGCTGCGAAGCTTTCCTTCTTAACAATACATATTCTTTGCTCCTATTTCAAAATAAACACTAATGTCTCTACAGACGCGGCCGAACTAAAAGTTGTTGAGCTATAATTCGTCACCTCCAGGATTTGGTGATTGGGGCCCCTAATCTCTAGTCGACGTTTAAAAGAGGGGTGTATAGAATATTTTCTCCCACTTTCCAGGATGCCTTCGTGATGTAACGGTAGCACACTCGGCACATATTAAATAGGTCCAGGTTCAAGTCCCGAAATGAGCATTGCTCAGTTTTCATCTATTCTGGTTCAAAATAACCAGAATAGAAATTTTCCGTTGTTAATAAACAAGTGAACTGCCTTGTACAGAAAATGCTCAAAAGTCCCCCATGGACGTCGACGCAGCGTTTTGCGAGATTTATTAAACTGTAACACAACTCAAACTGTAGAACACTTTTGAGTCTTTTCATATGCTCTTGCTCAAACAGTTCAGCAAACGTTTTTCACAAATTGTGCCTCCTCCTCACTTCAGCTGCTCACTAAAACACGTCTGCACTTTTCAATCAAACGAATGGTTTCTGTCACTCGTTTGCGCATGCTCTTTACCCGTCCAGTTGTACCTGTCGTGATTTCTAGTAATTTCTTTGCTATTTATAAAACATTTTTCACGCACTGTTCTGGGACAGTATTATTTTTGCCCCGCCCCCCGTGCATTAGTGGTATTCAATGGCAGTGCTACCAAACGAGACCAAAAATATAGTCATCTTTATATATATATAAGCGGCTAAAGTGTGTGTCTCCGATAGTTTATTGTTGCCACTCGGAAAAATGAGCGCGGAAATTAACGTTTCCGCAGTTTTTAATTAATATCTCAACCGATTTAAAGTCGTACGAAAGTGAGAAAGGTATCGATGGATTCGGAGAATTTTTCTGAATCCGAGGTACGCGTCTCGAATTTCACTCGGCGCGCCGTTCCTAGATATTCGAAAAAAGAATTTGGCACGTAGCCAAAGCCCTCTATAAGGAAAACACAAGCAATAAGTGGAAAATAGTTTTAATTATCTAGGCTATTAAGACCCAAGAAGCGCGAATGGTCAAAATGGCTGCCACGGACCTGCGATCCAACGTTGCTTCGCTAAGCCCCGTGGCCAGCCGTTTCGGGAGATGATTTACTCACCCCATATATAATCTGCGGCTTAAGTGTCTGTTTGTCGCCGATAGTTTATTGTTTCTTTCGTACTGTACTAGCCATGGGGTGACTGCACGGACAGGGTGCCGTTCGATTGAGACGAACAAATTTCGCCTGCAAAAGTTGCTTGCTATGCTATCAAAATCTCAGGCAAACGCTAAGCGTTTGTCATTTTTACCTGAGCCTGCATTCGACACGCTCAAATTTTGCTGCCTGTTCAAGAGTTCGTAAAGAACGACAAAATAAAAATATGTATGGTCCCTCTGTAAGCGAGCTAAATGATGGAAAGATCTACACAAGAAATGTGTGTACAAAGATCTTTGACATGTGAATTACATTTCATTACTTGAAGCACCTTTATGATTAGCTAGCGTGGGACTTCTAGAAAGTACGCCATGGTTTCCGTTCATTGTAACGCTACTTCAAGCATTAGCAAGTAAAGGGGGAAGACCCCGTAGGGGGTAAGCAAAGGGCGCCCTTGCCGCCTGCCCTGGGTATTCTTTAAATTAGCAGATACCTGGCACAAATCATTTAATTACAAGGAAAGAGCGGACAGCGGTCATTGGGAGACCGCGGGTTGCTAGTTAGTAATATTTATAAATCAACGTGTAGTATAAAGATCTCGACCCGCTATTTATTTTAAAATTTTGTGACCCATAGAGTGAATTATCCGTAATTTCAACCCAAACTGTGGTAACCCAAGCATGGATGCAAACTTAAGCTTTGGTTTGGGTTAGTAGATTATGGCAAAGCACACTAGGGCTATCTGCCTGAAGGGAGGGATGCCTTCGTGGAGAACTTTCTAAAGATTTGCTTTATGTGATTATGGCAAAGCCTCGGGGGCTTTCTGTAAGGGAAGGAATGCCTTCGTGGAGGACTTCTTAAGAGAAATTGGCTCGTATACACATTACACATGATGGAAAACCATGAAAACGCCCGTGCAGCCATCCCTTTCGAAAGATTCGAACCTCGCCCCACCAGTGTTCAGCGATTTTCTAAGGAAAACTACGTCGCATTCAAATTACACATAAAAAGCCACGAAAACAAACCATGCAGCCCAGCCATCCCGTTCGCCTGGAATCGAACCCAGGGTGGAACTATCAGTGTTCAACGGTTTTACCGCTCGGCCGCTGGTTTTGGCGAATCAGAGTGTTTCCAATTAATTATTTTAGATACGAATTTAGTTCAAATGAAAGCTAAATTAGAATAAAATGCTTTTAGAAAAATTAATTTCCTAATTATGTGAAGGTCTCGAAATGGAGATAAAAAGGATAAAAATTTAAGTGATTGATATAACAGCTTGATTTGTTTCTTTATAGGTTCTATCCTGAAAGTAACGAAATCACTTTTGCAACGTGGATGATGTACAACGTTCCTGGAATGGTTGTGTGTGTTGTGTCTGGGTGGTTTTATCTATGGATGATATATATTCAATGCTCGTACGTAGAGTAACTTTTTCTATATTTTACATGCGCAGCGACATTTTAAAATAACGACTACACTGCACTCTGAATCATCTGGGCTAACGCTGAGAAAGCAGATAACGGATAACTGAAAACTATGGATAACCCAAACTATAAATTTTCATGCGCATTGTATGTGTTATTAGCCCAAATGTCGTTAGCCCAGAAGGGCTATTAATTTCAAAACGCCATTTTGCGTCGATTCACTTTTCAAATTGTTGCCACCAAATATTATCGCCATGTATTACATTTAAAGAAACTAAATAATGAAGAATCTACAGGAAAGTTTCTGGCACTGTGCAGAATAAACGGCACCTAGAGTCATCAAATTCTGAATAACGTAGTCCTCCAACCGAACGCACTTGGAAGCAATTCGAGCACATGGAAGCCCAAATTTTGAATTTAAAATTTGTTTTATTACTTATTTAAAATTTTGCAAACTTTTAACGAATTTTTGATTAACATAATTAACGATTTCAAAGCGAGCAATGGCGACACTGTACGTAAAAAAAAAAAAAAAAAAAAAAAAAAAAAAAAAAAAAAAAAAAAGTTTTTATTTTCAGCGCGCGACGCTATGTATCAGAAATTCTAAATATATGCTGTTTTAAGATACAATAACACGCCGAACAAATATTAATTTAGAAGTCAAACAACAAAAATCAGCGTTATATTTTCAAATTTTCACAGTACTTTTAAATGCTGCAAATGCGCTTTGTCCTGTGGTCCTGTGAAAGTACTGTGAAAATTTGAAAATATAACGCTGATTTTTGTTGTTTGACTTCTAAATTAATATATGCTGTTTTGCTGTTTTTAAATATTTTGTGATATTGCTGTTGAATTGAATTTTATGTGTTTTAAGTGCGAAGAACATGATAGTTAATAAATAAAGGGAACACACAAAACGTTAAAAAAACGCCCTTTTGGGTGTAATATAAAATTTTAAAGATTTCAGGTTTTTTTTTTTTTTTTTTTTTTTTTTTTTTTAAATCGGTAATTTAATTTTATTTTCGAAAGAGTTCAAATATTTGTAAAGTTTCGCTGCGTTATTTTCGAAGTGCTATTTTATCACTGTATTCGTATTCCCTTAGGTTAACAGAGTTTCAACAAAACTGTTTGCGTCTCCGGAGTAGTATCATTGAAAGTTTCGCTTGTATTTTCAGTATCACTCTCTGCCTCATCTTTTGGCATTTGAAACGATATCTGCGTCACTCAAATAATTCAAGCACTGAAAGTCTAGCTGAGTATACTCGCGGGATGAAACAAATCCTCGATATTTTCCCGATCGACATCTCTTTGAAGATTTTGATTATATTCAATTTTCTGGCATACAACTTCGGTTATTGCCTCGTCTTTTTCGCGTTCGATAAATCTCAAAGAAGAACCTTTTCCCATGAGCAAACAATTATTATTGGTTTTTCTTTTTACCGAGCTTTTAAAAGCTGTTTGACGGAGCTGTTTGACAACCGAAGTCCTCTGGACAATGCAGTATGAACGTCCTCAGGATGTGAAATTGGTGAAGTCCTCAGGACATCTGAGAATCAACATCCTCAGGACATCCTCTCATATCCCGGGACATAGCGACTTAAATGAGACATCCTCTCCTATCTCGGGACTTAGTGACTTAAATAAGACATCCTCAGGATGTTAAATTACAATGTCCTCAGGACATCCTAAGTATGTCCCGGGATATTGCGACTTAAATAGGACATCCTGAGGATGTTTTGTGCTGTGGGGGATTACTACTCCGGGTATCACATTCAATGCAGTCAATATTTTCATGAACTTCAGTAAATCATCATCCTCCTTAGAAAGAATTGTGAAAAAACGAGGTAATTCTTGAAACTAAGCCTAAAGATGCACTTCAGCTGTTTTTAGAGCATGCTAGATCTTGCACATGTTTGTTTTTTACATACCCTCGTTGAGTGTGCGTGCGTTCGCCCCGCGACGCACAGGTAATCCACATACCGCATAATCCGTATCCGGTTAATCGAGAGTACACTGTATGTTTGCATATGGTATACCGAAACGAAATTCGAAAAAATCTGATGTGTACACCACATGACTTCCTTGTACGAAATATTAAACCATACGCAGTTTATTCCTGCATTATAATTAAACTTATTCCTCTAATTTCATTAGAGATATATTTCTCATTCAATTAGTTCAGTTCTCACTACGCGGCAAGGCAAAAATACATATAAACTCGAAATACCTTCATTAAAAATTGAAAGTATAGAAAAACATAAAACAACAAATACAGTTAAAACAAAAAAATTACAATTACAATTATAGTTTCTACGCAAGAATAAGCAAATTCGACCAGCAGACAAGATGGCAGATTTTTCGGGGCACAAAACTAAAAATTTGTTTTTGGTCCCAATCGGCAAAAAGACACTGAAGATGCAGCAAAATTTAATTCACTATTCTGCTAAGTTTCAAATGCAAACAATATCGCTGCTATAGTAGGAAACGTTAGGCTTAACCGCACTTAAACAACTTTTAAATTGTTAATAATTCTACAACTATTGCATGCAGATTAACTAAAGGCTTAAGAACCTTAAGCGGAAGATAAGAACAATATAATTCAATCATTTGCAAAGCAAAAAATGCGCAATTCGTCAACATATAAGAATAACAAACTGACCTCACTGAGCCGACTAACAGAGTGACTTTATATATATATATATAAATTGTTTCATAAGAAACTAATAGTAAAGTTAATAAATAAATAATTAAAGAATTCTCTTGCGCCAATGCTGCAAGAAATGAAATTTGAATTCAACAAATATTCTCTATTATATAAAGCTAATTTAAATTTTAAACTCACGTAAATTCAATTGTATACAAATAAAAGATTAATTACTGCTGCGAATTAATTTGCAACATCATTTAAATAATTAAGCAATAATTAATCTTTTATTTATACACAACTGAGTTTTACATAGTTTAAAACTTAAATTAGCTTTATATAATAAAGAATATTTGTTAAAGAAAATACACTGCTCAACATTGAAAATGCAACACCAAGAAGGAGTGGTCAGAAATTGATGAAATTTGGAAAAAAGTCAGAGACAGCAAACAGCAATAAGTGATCTTTATTTCAAAATGATAGTCAGAATACATAGCGAGAACGGCGTCGGTTCAGTAGGATTTAGGACCACCGCGGACAGATATGCACGAAGAAACATGGCTAGCCATAGAGTCAATAAGAGTGCGGATGGCGTCCTGAGGGATGGCTCTCCGTTCCCTTTCAACCATTTGCCACAATTCGTCTTCTGAACGAGGCTGGGGCAGAGTCTCCAAACGGCGTCCAATCACATCCCACGCATGTTCGATTGGTGACAGGTCAGGAGAGTACGGTGGCCAGGGAAGCGTCTGTATACGTTGCAGAGCATTTTGGGGAAATGCGAGCACTGTGTGGTAGGGCGTTATCCTGCTGAAAAATTGCATTAGGCAACGCCTGCAGGCAGGGGATTGCCACCGGCCGCAGTACATTATCCAAGTATCGTTGGGCCGTCATAGTGCCCTGAATTCGAACTGGAAGTGACCTGTAATCGTAGGCAATAGCGCTCCAAATCATTATGCCACGTTGTCGCGCGGTGGGGCGTTCCACAGTTACTGCGGGATTAGATCTAACGATCACCGACGCCATACACGTATGCGGCGACTGTCACTGGATAAACAGAAGCGTGAATCATCTGAGAACACGACGTTTCGCCATTCTGTCATCCACATCGCTCCAGTCCGGCAATATTCTAAGCGTTGGCTTCCTATGCTGTGGGGTCAATGGCAGTCTTCTTAACGGACGCCGTGAGTGCAGACCACGTATTCGCCATAGCCGATGCACTGTGCTCGCTTCCATGTGAGTATCAGCTGCGTAAGGACCAACCCGCCCTTCTCAGTCCGATCATTATACCCCTCGTAAAATTGTCTATCTTCTGGAAGTGCCTTCGTTGACGTCGGCCTGGCATTCTCTCCTATTACATGTATCCTCCGGGACAAAACCCAACTGTCTTCGATAATTCGTCTGTCAGAAATAACGACACGAATATTGCCCATTCTGCACGTTCCTTACCTTATAGCTTACTTCAAGTGCGTCGGAGAGCTGCACATTTCACATCTTTTGCATAACTCAATGACGTGCGTCTACTCTAAAATTAGCATAAATTTCTAACCACTTCTTCTTGGTGTTGCATTTTCAATCTCGAGCAGAAAAAGAGGCTTTTATTCTGTCCTTACGTACAGATAACACTGAAAAAGCTCGTTAATTTTCGTTGAAATATGGTAATCGGAATTTTCTGTGATTACAATACTTCCTTTTCTTCGTATAAGGAAGTAATAAAAAGTTAGCACTTTATGAATGCATATGTGATGATACCTTCTGATTTTTAATAATGGCATACATTCTTTCGGACTGAAAAACTCAAGGAAGTTTTTATTACGGTGATAATAGCTATTGTTTTTCTGGTTTACAGCAAGCAGAAAATTTTACACGGGACAGCACCAATTCGTTCAGAGATATACGAATACTTCTACTTCGCATCTCCTGATAGGTATTTAAGAGTTCTAAACTGCAGTTCTTCAAACACAAAATTTGTGGGTTGGTTATGAAAAGAGAGCATTTTATTTCGCATTAATTTTGGAACTGGAGACTTTCCACATTTTCAAAACTGAAAAGATTGAATTTTTGAAAACTTTGGATGTTGCCAAGTATCACCAAATCTCGTTATTTTGTACAATATTTTAACTCTTTATGTTTAGAATATTATAGAATAATCCTTTTGCCACAATGTATTTTTAGCCCAAACAGGCTTTGTCCCTGAAGGACTATTGTTTTCGTTTTGCAATCTTGCGTTGAATCACTATAAATAAATATCCTTTTCACTTTTCAAACTGTTGCCACCAAATGCTAGAGTCCTGCATTATATTTGAAGAAATTAAATAATGAAAAATCTGCATAAATGTATGTCCTATTTCTCTCATTATGATAAAATAACGGTACCTAGAGCCATGGAATTTTGAATGACGGAATCCTCCTACGAATATGGGCATGTGGAAGACCAAATTTGAAATTTAGAATTTGTTTTATCATCAATTTCATATTTTGTAAAACTTTAACGGATTTTTGATTAACAAACTAAAGGATTTAAAAGCGAGCTATGGCAACACTCTACTGGGGAAAAAAAAAACTTTTTATTTTTTATCTCCAGCACGCGGAACTGTGTAATCGGAAATTCTAAAGATAGGCTCATTTTAAAATTATTTTGCGACATTGCTATTGAAATAAATTTTGTGCAAAGAACATGATATTTAATAAATAAAAGCAACACACATAACGTTAAAAAAACGCGCTTTTGAACGTAATTTAAAATCTGAAACTTTTCAGATTTTTTTTTTTTTTTTAGATAAGTAAAATTCAAATATATTTTTTTCAGAAAAATTGAAAGACCTTAACTACTTATACTACTTGCATTATTTGACAACGGTTCCAGAAAAACAACGAATTTTTAAGCTACTTTTCTACTAAGTTAAGAATTTTAATTTTTTAAGTTAAGAGTAATTTCACTTTTTAGCTCATATTGAAACCATGGTTTCAGAATATACTATAAATTATATATTCCAATTAATTATCTTTTTTTTTTTTTTTTTTTTTTTTTCCTTCCAGAAAGGTTGATCACAACTTGGTATCGAAAGAATCCATCAAAACCATTATTTCGAAACGATATGCCAAGCTGGGTCCAATGACGTAAGTTTTACACAAATATTTCGATTTCTAAATTAGCATTTCCGAAATTATTATATTATTGACTAGCGTCTACATCCCAAAACGGCAGCCTATGAGAGAGGCGATTCTACACTCATGTCCAAAATTATGTTTACATGCATAAATTCACGGGTTTCTCAGAGACTAATAATTTAATGAATTTTCGTGGAATCATACATAACATGATGACACATAAATGCAAAAGAAAAAATTGAAGATCACCTCATATGATATAAAATTGTAGCATGAAACAATAAAAATGGTAATAAAGTGTGACAAAGAGAGTTAAGAAAAAAAGGAATGATTCAGAAAAAGAATTAAGTCTTACGAATTTAATATGGAATATGATCTCCCCTGACTTGTACACACATATCACAACGTGTTTTAAGGCTGAAAATAACGTTGTTAACCACAGTTTGGGGAATTAATCTCCACTCTTCTAGCAATGCCGTCTTCAGAGCATTTACATCTCTAGGAGGAGGATGTATACGTACAATTGCTCTTCCAAGGTAGTCCCATAAGTTCTCTATCGGGTTAAGGTCAGGAGAGTTTGGTGGCCAAGGTATTCGCTTAATGTCTTCACTTTCAAGGAATTCATCAACGAGGTTTGCTCGATGTGGATGGGCATTATCATCCATAAATAAAAGTCAGGTCCATATGCACCCCTGAAAAGTCTTACATAAGGATCTAAGACCTCATCTCGATATATCTATCTGGCCTGTCACAGATCCGCTGCTGAACACGTGTAGGGGCGTACGTCCATCGATCATTATTCCACCTCATACCATCACACCTCCACTACCGAAACGGTCACGTTCCACAATGTTCGAGGGATCATTTCGTGTTCCTGACTCCCTCCAGATGTAAACACGTTTAGAATCACCAGTTAAACTAAACCGCGACTCATCAGTAAAGAGAACATGGGACCATTGATGTTCAGTCCAGTTTTGATGTTCTTTACACCAATTAAAGCGATCCCTCTTTTTCTGTGAAGACAGTAAAACACATACCCTTGGCTTTCTGGCATAAAGGCCTTTTTCATTAAGCCTTCTGTATATTGTTTGCCGTGTGCAACAGTTCCAGTGGCGGCTGCAAGCTCTGAACTTAACTGCCGAGCAGTAGCCTTTCTGTTATGACGGGCAGTTAATGCCAGATACCGATCTTCACAAGCAGTTGTCATTCGTTTCCGACCTTGTCCAGGCCTCCTTACAACACTTCCATCATTTTGAAACTGTTTCTATAGCTTAGAGACTGTCTGTCTTGAAATATTCAGACATGTGGCTGTTTCCATGATTGACTGCCCTGCTTCTAAACGGCCGATAATTCGCCACTTTACAGATTCTTCCAAATGATACTTCGAAGCCATAACAAACTGCTTTGAGTCCCTACACACTGAAATTAAACGCTATGTTATAGAAATTCACTCAAATATTCAGTTTGCGCAAAGCGCTTGATTCACCCTTGGATGACGTAACGCCTAGATTTGCATATCACAAACCGTTTGATTACTTTTGATTGGATAATGCTAATTAGGTTTGGTTTTCACATATTCCCTGCAAATACGGATCACATTGATTCGATATTTCATTGAATATCATCATTTTTGTGTATGTAAAGATAATTTTGGACATGAGTGTATTATTTTCATCGGGGAGTAGGGAAGTTGTAATGGTTTTCTGAGGAACGCAACGGCAGTGCACTATGTTTGCTTACATTAGGAAGTTCAGAAAATTGCAAAGGTGGATTGCCTTAATTTCTGCGGTTACTTTCAGGGAAATATTAGGCAGTTTTTTTTTTTTTTTTTTTTTTTTTTTGGTTTGCTGATAGAGGGCAAATAGATAATTTACTTTTATAAATCCGCGTTTACCTATTTAAACTTCAGAAGATTTAAGATGAAGCGAATATATGCAACACAACAGAACGCAAGCTTAAGACTTGTAAATCTTTTAAAAAACAATACATTGATAATTAAAAATATTATTTATATTTCATTATTAAAAACTTTTTATAAATGCATAGTTATCACATAATTAACAATTCATCCATGCATTATCTCATTATTTATTATAATTAGAAGAGAAGATATTTTTTACAGTAATGTTTAAAAATTTGCTGTTGTCGTTTAAAAGATTTACAAGTCTTAAGATTGCGTTCTGTTGTATTAAATATATTCGCTTCATCTTAAATCTTGTGAAGTTTAAATAGATAAACGCGGATTATAAAGGTAAATTGTCTATTTGCCTTCTATCAGCAAACCGAAAAATCTGCCTAATATTTCCCTGTAAAGTAACCGTAGAAACTAAGGCAATCCACTTTAGCAATTTTTTGAACTTCCAAATGTAAGCAAACATATAGTCCACTGCCGTTGCATTCCTTAGAAAACCATTCTAACTCCCCTACTCCCCGATGAAAATAATAGAATCGCCTCTCTCATAGGCTGCCGTTTTGGGATGTAGACGCTAGTTATATTATTGATGGTTAATTATATTTAAGTACAAAAATCTAATAATACTGGTGGCCACTTTTTTCCCCTCTAGAATCATAATTTTTATGATTATTTCCAAAAGAATGCTGACGTTTAACATCTGTAAAATATTTTAAATGTTTTTTCGAAAGAGTCTTAGAAGTAACATATAATTGGTTTCATTTGCATTTGGCAGTATTATGTTTCAGAAAATGTATGGCATTCACTGAAAGCTATGGTAATGCATTTAATAAGGATTGGTTTGGTTTATTTAAGTATGGCAAAGCACATTAGGGCTATCTGCCTAAGGGGACGGATGGCTTCGTGGAGGACTTTCTAAGGGAAACTGGCTCGTATACACGTTACACATGGGGAAAACCACGAAAACGCCCATGCAGCCAGCCCGTTCGCGGGATTCGAATCTCGCATTTAATAAGGAAGAATAAAGGTGAATAGAGTTTAATGTTTTTTTAATTTTACTTGGTATACTTCTTTGTTTAGCCCTTAAATTCAGTCGGATCCCATTGGCGCAGATACATCGCGCAAAAATAGGGGGGGGCAACAGTTCTATATCACCCGTTCTACTGGGCCAATTGACGCCTCGGTAGCGCAGTAGGCAGCGGGTCAGTCTCATAATCTCCCATTCCACTGGGCCAATTAATCACTCGTTCTATTGGGCAAATTGACGCCTCGGTAGCGCAGTAGGCAGCGGGTCAGTCTCATAATCTCCCATTCCACTGGGCCAAGTCACTTTTCTGGGCATGTCTCAAAGCGCGGTCAGTCTCATAATCTCCCATTCCACTGGGCCAATTGACGAAACTCAAATTGCGTTTTTCATGTCTCAAAGCGCGACTTAGGATATGTATTACATTTATAAATAGCCTTGTTCTAATATAGGTATTTTGACACAAAATCACAGACCTTTTTCCGAAATGACATGCGAATTTTTTTCCACATTTCGATTCAACGACTGAAATTATGCCGAAATGGGGAGTTTTGTAAAAATCGCACGAGTAGTTGTTTTAAAAAATTAGCTCTCAAAATTTTAGCTCCTCCATATTAATTCAATTTGACATATATTTATTAACATCTTTTCTTTTATTAAACTTACTTGATTCCTTCTTCCAGAATTCGTAATTTACGTTCATTCCAAATAAAATTCGGCCATTTTTTATGATTTAGATTTAAAATTTGTATTCTTTAATAATTTTTATAAATTTTTCGAAGAAAATTTTGAATTAAAACCTATCATATTTTTTACTATCATCTTAAAGTAGATGTATTTCTAAGTATACCTCAGAAAATTGGAGTTTTCTATTGACATTTTCCTACCACATTTAAATGTGGTTACTTGGGCGTTCTGTTGGGTTTAAATTTGGTTACTAGGTCCGTGGTTCGATTCCCGGCGAAGGCGGTTTGCTAAGAACTTGTGGCAATTATAGTCAGGTGACAGGTGAGAGCAGCGTCCGGACACCCGGGTGGCTTTCACTGACTATTCGGGTATCGTCCGAATCCCGGAACTATCCAGAAAAAGAATATTGCTAGACACCCAAAAGGCCGTGTGCTTATAGTTGTTATCCTGATAAAAAATAAAGTTATTTCCAGTTTCCAAATTTTGGGTATAATATTTAAACAAAGAGCTTGGTTCATTGTGCCATCAATAAACGTTAAATTATTTAATACTAATGCTGACATGCACCCTCACACAAGAGCACCTCCACCGCCATGCTTTAGTGTTCCAACCACGGTCTTGGGATTAAGCTCCTCATTTTTTTTTTTTTTTTTTTTTTTTTTTTTTTTAATCCAAAGGGATTTGAATCCCGAAGGATTATTAGTTTCGTTTTGGCATTTTGCGTCGGACTCATAAATGTCGGTTCACTTTTCAAACTGTTGCCACAAAATGTTAGAGTCCTGCATTATATTTGAAGAAATTAAATAATGAAAAATCTGCATAAATGTATGTATATTTCTCGTATTGTGATAAAACAACGGTACATAGAGTCATCGAATTTTGAATAACGTAATCCTCCAACGAATATGAGCATGTGGAAGACCAAATTTGAAATTTGAAATTTGTTTTATGATCGATTTCCTATTTTTTAAAACTTTGACGAATTTTTGATTAACAAACTCAAGGATTTCAAAGCGAGCAATGGCAACGTTGCGCAGAAAAAACATTTTTATCTCCAGCGCGTGAGTCTCTGTATCGGAAATTCTTAAGATAGGCTCGTTTTAAAACTATTTTGCGATATTGCTGTTGCACTGGATCTTATGGTTTAAGTGCGAGGAACACGATATTTAATAAAGAAAGGTAACACACAAAATGTTAAAAAACGCCCCTTTGGACGTAATTTAAAATCTGAAACATTTCAGATTTTTTTTTTTTTTTTCTCCGTATAATTATATGCGTATTGGAATCAAAAATGTTAAAGTTGCTTTCATGTACAAATAAGACATGATTACAATATGCGTCGGGCGTATTCTGTAGAAATCCTTACAACACTCAAATATGAATTTTTCACACATTTTCTAACTGTTAATCTTTGATCACGGTGAGTCACGTCGAGATTTCATTGCCTGAAAACCTCTTCTTACTTTATTTTAGATCGGATTTTTTTCTTTAAAGCATTTGATAACATAAATGGGATAAGTTTACTAATTTGGCGATATCACGACTCTAATTTTCATCCTTATGATAAAAAAATGATCACGTTTCGAACGCCGTGGGATGTTTCCTGAAGACTACGAGCTATTTTTCGACATTAAATAAAATATAACAAAGTAAGCAAGCAAAAAATAAAACCAAACAAGGTGAATCTGTACATTAGGGTAACTTAACGATTTTTTGGCTAAAATTTGGCGACCAACCCTGCTACAGCAACCTGCTAGTTTTTTTTTTTTTTTTTTTCCGACGCCATTTTGTTTTCACGAAGTAAAGGCTTTTTTTTTTTTTTTTTTTTTTTTTTTTTAGTCCAAAGGGATTTCAGTCCCGAAGGACTATTGCTTTCGTTTTGGCATTTTGCGTCGGACTCATAAACGTCGGTTCACTTTTCAAACTGTTGCCACAAAATGTTAGAGTCCTGCATTATATTTGAAGAAATTAAATAATGAAAAATCTGCATAAATGATTGTCTATTTCTCGCATTGTGATAAAACAATGGTACATAGAGCCATCGAATTTTGAATGACGAAATCCTACTGCGAATATGGGCATCTGAAATCCCAAATTTGGAATTTGTTTTATTATAGATTTTATATTTTTGTAAAACTTTAACGAATTTTTGATTTACAAACTCAATGCTTTAAAAGCGAGAAATGGCAACGTTATATAGAAAAAAAATACCTTTATCTCGAGCTCGCGAGACTGTGTATATCGGAAATTCTAAAGATATGCTTAATTTAACATTATTTTGCGATATTGCTCTTGAACTGAATTTTATGGTTTAAGTGCAAAGAACATGATATTTAATAAATAAAGGTAACACTCAAAACGTTAAAAAAACGCCCCTTTGGACGTAATTTAAAATCTGAAAGAATTTCAGATTTTTTTTTTTTTTTTTTTTTTTTTTTTTTTTTTTAACTCAACATTTTTTCCAACAATCTGCTAGCCGAATTACGCTTATACTAGAACTTTTATGGTACAAAAATGCTTAATCATGGCGAAGATTAGGTGCGAAATTGGGAGAAAGTGCAGAATCGCAAACTGCTTGCCGCGTTTTTAAGAATTGCATATACACGATATCCATGTACACGTCGACCTATTTTCACATAAAAAAGCATCCCAGAATTGCACAAAAATAGCATTGTGCACACTCTTGACTTTATCTATGTAAACATGGACCTATTTTCACTTAAAAAGTTAAAGAAAATTGGCAAAAATCCTATTCTTCTTGTAAAAAGCGCCAAACAAATAAGTGGGCGATTCTGCACTTTAGCAGCGAAATTGTTTCTGCTTAAGCTAAAAGTATATAAGTGCTTATAGCTAAAAGTATATAAGTGCTAAGCTAAAAATCACGATCGGAATTTTTCGGAAAATGTCACATGACATGTCTCATGATCTCTCATTTCTCTGAGACAAAATAATCCGTGATTCGAACTGTATACTTCTCAAATTATTGCTAAATTCCTAGCTAGTAACCTTTATCGCCTTACCAAAATGTCGCCAAACTAACTGTAACCATATTCTAAAGATTAGCCCAGAACAATTTTCTAAACGTCCCCAAAATGCAAAAATAAAAAACAAAAAATGGTAGATGATAATGTTATTTACGAAATTTTACGGATTTTACGAAATGTGTACAATCACTTTTGTGGCGTGTTTTATCTATGACTCCTTGCATGTTCAGTTTTTAGAAAAGGAAAATCAGTCAGTCAAACTTTACAGCACTACCTCTGACAAAGTGTTCATCATAACACGGTGAAGCTGTTCAGAGATTTTGTGGATAACCTTTTAAAGTATTTCTCGTGCCTTCATGGTGTAGTGGTTCTGCACGCTGCGTCGGTATTCCAGAGGTCCGTAGTTCGATTCTCGGTGAAGGCGGTTTGCTAATTTTTCATCTTGCTTGCTTCCCGAAATACTAATGTCTCAACAACCTGTACTAAGTTATTCGTGCTTAGTATTTAATACAAAAGTAGGCTAATCTTTAGAATATGATAACAGGTAGTTTGGCGACATTTTGGTAAGGCTATAAAGGTTACTGCTAGGACATTAGCAATAATCTGAGAAATACACAGTTTGAATCACAGATTATTTTGTCTCAGAGAAATGAGAGATCATGAGACATGTCATGTGACATTTTCTGGAAAATTCCGATCGTGATTTTAGCTAATAAGCACTTAAAAACAATTTCGCTGCTAAAGTACAGAATCGCTCACTTTTTTTTGTTTGGCGCTTTTTATAAGAGTAAGAAGAATTGGATTTCTGTCAATTTTCTTTGACTTTTTAAGTGAAAATAGATCGGTGTGTACATGGATAAAGTCAAGCGTGTGTGCAATGCCATTTTTGTGCAAATCTGGGATGTTTTTTAAAGTGAAAATAGGTCGACGTGTGCATAGATACCGTGTATGTGCAATTCTTAAAAACGCGGCGAGCAGTTTGCGATTCTGCACTTTTTCCCAATTTCGCACCTTATCTTCGTCATGATTATGCATTTTTGTTCCATAAAAGTTCTAGTATAAGCGTAATTCGGCTAGCATATTGTTGAAAAAAATGTTGAGTTTAAAAAAAAAAAAAAAAAAAAAAACATGCCTTTACTTTGTGAAAACAAAATGGCGTCCAAAAAAAAACTAGCAGGCTGCTGTAGCAAGGTTGGTCGCCAAATGTTGGCCAAAAAATCGCCAAGTTACCATAATGTAAAGATTCACCCAAAATTATTTTCATAATTAGCTATTACTATAGTCTGTCACTTTAAAATAGGAACTTCAAGGTTTATTTTCCGCCGCTCCATTTGACCCGTAACCATGGAAACAACAGTCTGGGAAAAATAAAGAAGTTGAGTCACTTAGAGTTTTTCTCCAATGCATTTACGTTTCTCGTGTTTCGCTTCATGGTGGTGTATTTAATTTTGGCAAAGCACACTAGGGCTATCTGCCTAAGAGGAGAGATGCCTTCGTGGAGGCACTTTCTAAGGGAAACTAGCTCGTATACACGTTACACATGGGGAAAACTAAGAAAACGACCATGCAGCCAACCCGTTCGCGGGATTCGAACCTCGGACCGAACTACCAGTGTTCAGCGACTTTACCGCTCGGCCGCGATAAATGATGACTTGAAATACAATTTCAAACGATGTAAAGAAAATTTATGCTTCTCGATGATGACGACAAAAGTTATGATAGCAAATAAGGGGCTGGCGATGGCGTCAAAGTGACTATTTTAAAGTAACAAACAGACTATAGTCGAAGGTGCGTTGAATTTTACTAAAAGCGTCTAACTAACGAAGTAAATGAGCATAATAAAATCTCTGCAATAGTTTTATAATTTTTAGTATATTATTTATATATTTCAGATACCATGAAATGGAAGTTCTGATTCTTTTTTTTATCTTGATTTCCTTATGGGTACTTCGAGACCCGAATTTCATTACAGGATGGTCCGAAGCCATAGGATCAGATGCGTAAGTCTTTTATTTATATTGGCACATTTTCCACGGTGTTTCTCTTTCCCCCCCCCGAAAGAATGTATGTAAAAATCGTATAGAAAGTTACCTTTCGATTAAGAAAAGAAATGTATGCTAACTCTTTTAATTTTACTTTATAATCAAGTTTTTAAAATATTTATCTTTCTCACCTTTACCTTCTACTGATCAATTTTTAAATAGGTAGGATTTTTCAAAATTTCAAGGATGAAATTTCGAAAATTATTTAAATATCTCACTTAATGTCATCGGTTTGTTAAAGTATCCACTAACTTCAGATTCTTTGCTTTTGCTTACATTAATTCTCTGTCTGTCCGTCCGTCTGTCAGGAGATTCCACACGGAAGAGATATAAATTAAAACCCTGCTTAGGTTCCCGTGTGTTCAGTTTTAGCATCTTATACTGATTTCTATTAAACATACGTTTTAGATGAAATTAAAATTATTTTTAAAGTTTAGTTTTAAAATATTGGTTTATTTTAAAATATTAGCTATTTTAATTAATTTCAGCTTTAAAATATCTTATTTAATAAAGGTTAGGTTATTTAATTACGGCAAAGCCTCTCGAGGGCTATCTGCCTAAGGTGAGGGATGCCTTCGTGGAGGACTTTCTAAGGGGAACTGGCTCGTCTACACGTTACACATGTGGAAAACCACGAAAACACACATGCAGCCAGCCCGTTTGCGGGATTCGAACCTCGGAACGAACTACCAGCGTTCAGCGACTTTACCGCTCGGCCGCTGGTAGGCCCTTAGTTTAATAAAATGTCTTAACCAAACTTTTATTTGCAAAGTAAGCATTTCTTCTTTCACTAAGACTTGCAAGCTTGCTGTGCATAATTCAGATTGAGAAAATAATACAGAATAAATGAAAAAATAAAATTTGAATGCTTTCCGATTTTACATTACGACCAAATGGGCATTTTTTAAGGGGTATCAGAAACCACTACACCGACAATGTTAAATTGGCCATTTTCGATGTACCTTTTCTCAAATTCTGCTGTAGATTCAAGCTTGAAATTTTTCCTGTAATTAAAGTATACCTATCTGATTATACTCAAATGAGCTTTTGAAACATTTTGAATTTTAGAGTAAATTACAGAATATTTTGTTAGGCATAGTAAATTTTACCACTTTTCTCACACAAAAAAAATTAATTTTTTTTCTAAGTTTATTACATAAAGCTCATTTCAGTAAATATTAGGGAACCTAATAAATAAGCCATAAAAAGTTTAGATACCTGAGAAAAGGTACATCGAGTATAAAAATATCACGTTTGGAGGAAAACGCTTTTTTATGTAAAAATCCTCATTGATCAAAGCAGTAGTAGACAAATTAAAACTAGATTTTTTTACAGTTCTAATTTTCATAGGGATTAAAGAATGGCGTTTTTACAAATATAAAAGTGTAGAGAATTTGAAAATTCAGAAATCCGAAATCACAATTTTTTGAAGATTTTGGGGTTCCAACACCCCTTAACGTTTTGCGTGTTCATTTTATTTCTTAAATATCATGTCCTTCGCACTTAAACCATAAAATTCAGTTCAACAACAATATCGCAAAATAATTTTAAAATGAGTCTATCTTTAGAATTCTCGATACACAGTCTCGCGCGCTGGAGATAACTTTTTTTCCACTGCTCACTTTGAAATCGCTGAGTTTGTTAATGAAAAATTCGTTAAAGTTTTACGAAATAGGAAATAAATAATAAAATAAAACATATTAGACTATCAAAGATTTTTTAAAGTGGATTTTAAATGGCAAAGTGGCTTCAAAATTTTGAAACGTTAATGTAGAATAAAAAAAAATCTGAAATGTTTCAGATTTTAAAATGCGTCCAAAGGGGGCGTTTTTTTAACATTTTTTGTGTTGCTTTTATTTATTAAATGTCATGTTCTTCCCACTTAAATCATACAGTTCAACAGCAATATCGCAAAATAATTTTAAAATGCGCATATCCTTTAGAATTTCCGATACATAGTTTCGAGCCCTGAAGATAAAAAATTTCTTCTGTAAAACGTTGCCATTGCTTGCTTTGAAATCCTTGAGATTGTTAATCAAAAATTCGTTAAAATTTTACGATATTTAGAAAAGTACAGATATTTAGACTGGAAAATGAAATTATCTGAAATTAACCACACGCGCAGACGATATTTACAAAAGTAAAGATATTCAAACCTGAAAAGGAAAATATATAAGTTATTCCATCAATAAATGCCATAAGTTTGTTTATGTCTTCATTATTTTATGAGTTATTAAACATCAAAATGGGTCCGGGACTTTATAAATACTCTGTACTTTACGAAATATGAAATAGATAGTAAAGCAAATTCCAAATTAGGTCTTCCAGATGCCCATATTCGGAGGAGAATTACGTTATTCAAAATTTGATGACTAGGTTCCGTTGTTTTATCATAATGCGAGAAACATACATATATTTATGCAGATTCTTCATTATTTAATTTCTTTAAATATAAAACAGAGCGATAACATTTGGTGGCAACAATTTGAAAAGTGAATCGGACATTTATAGTGAACCAACGCAAAATGCCAACGAAATTAATAGCTCTTCTGGGCTAACGTCTTTTGGGATATTAAATGCTTGAAAATATCTATCTGTGTACTCTGATTCGTAACATTTACAGGCATTGTAATTAAATGATTGTTCCTGTTGTATGTGGTTTCTTGTCTTAAAAGACAGGCATAGATTTCTAATCAAAAATTAGTTTGAAATCAAAATCAAGGATTGCTGTGAATTGCGTCATTTCTTGTAAATTAAATTTAGTATTTTATTAGAAAGAAATTTTTAATGTAGCTGAAAACGAGAAAAACAATTCGCATAAAATTTATGTCTGGATTCGTACTAAATATCGGTATTATAATACTCCACTAAAGTACTTTATATGGCATGGGTAACATCCAAACTGCATTAGCCTATAATAAATGTAGTGAAATGCATCAGTTTTAAAATTACCCAAAATTCTGTATTAGAATGGCATTCATTTTATGGATGTTTTCTGTGTGTTTCGATAGGATATGACAAATATTCTTTCTTTTTATCATCATAAACTAACAATTTTTAGCCTAAAAGGGCGATTAGTCTGGAAATGGTATTTTTTTTTTTTTTTTTCGAATCACTATAAACGAATGTGTCACTTTTCAAATTGTTGCCACGAAATATTACCGTCCTGTATAATATTTAAGGGGTGTTGGAATCCCAAAATCTTCAAAAAATTGTGATTTCGGATTTTTGCATTTTCAAATTCTCTACACTTTTATCTTTCTAAAAATACCATTCTTTAATCTCTATGAAAGTTAGAACTGTAAAAAAATCTAGTTTTAATTTGTCATCGACTGCTTTGATCAATGAGGATTTTTACATAAAAACGCGTTTTTCTCCAAACGTGATATTTTTATACTCGATGTACCTTTTCTCAGGAACTACTGCTCACAGGTATCTAAACTTTTTATGGCTTATTTATTAGGTTTCCTAATATTCACTGAAATGAGCTTTAATAAACTTAGAAAAAAAAATTTTTTTTATTTTTTTTGTGTGAGAAAAGTGCTGAATTTTACTATGCCCAACAAAATATTCTGTAATTTACTCTAAAATTCAAAATGCTTCAAAAGCTCATTTCAGTATAATCAGATAGGTATACTTTAATTACAGAAAAAATTTCAAGCTTGTATCTACAGCAGATTTTGAGAAAAGGTACATCGAAAAGGGCCAATTTAACATTGTCGGTATAGGGGTTTCTGATACCCCTTAAAGAAATTAAATAATGAAGAATCTGCATGAATGTATGTATGTATGTATGTTTCTCGCACTGTGGAAAAAAAGCGGCATCTATAGCCGCCAAATTTTGAATAACATAGTGCTCCACCTATCAGGTTCAATGTTCCGTCTTACTTTCTTTGGGAACATGCAAGGACCTGACTCGGAACAGAGAGCTTACTAAAGCTATGTTCAATAACTGTGGGAAGTAGACAGGATACACAAGAAGGGTATACAAAACCCTTTATTTTTCTCTCTTTACAATAATTTCCGTACTTCGGAATACAAAGACCCACTACTTGTGGTCTAAACGTAAGAATATAAAAATATAACTAAACTCTAACTTAACTTTGAAATAATAAACGTGGGAAAATTGGCCTTATATTAACAGGAAGCCGTATGTAGTACAGAGAACTGTTAACACTACAATACGTTTAAAATTATCAAGAGGATTAAACCTCTGGCCTGGAAGGCAACCAGCAACTGAGTGATAAAACTTCTAAGGTAAGCGGCCCCCTGCTTCGACTAACTCCTTCCTCTCTCTCGCTTGGCAAAAAGCCACAACTTAAGTACTTGGCGTTCGCCAGACAAATTTTGCATAAATAAGTTAACGCTTATAATTCTGGCCGAAAATAAGAAGTGATAGTAAAGATTTAAAATAAAATAAACATTAGTAAAACTTAAGATCCTTACACACCATAATATCTGCACGTGGAAGCCCGAATCTTGAATTTCGAATTTGTTTTATTATCTGTTTCACATTTTTTAAACTTTAACGAATTTTTGACTAAGAAACTCAAAGATTTCAAAGCGAGCAGTGGTAAAGCACTATACGAAAAAATATATTTTCATTTCCAGCGACCGATGCTGTCTATCAGAAATTCTAAAGATGTACTGTTTTTAAATATTTTTAGCGCAAAGGGACATTACTCCAAATGTTCTCGAAACGTGTATGTGTGTTTAAATGAAATAAACGCCTCTTTGGGCGTAATATATAATTTGTTTATCTTTTGTTTTATTTTGTTGTTGTAGTTTTTGTTTATAATTTTTAACCCAAAGGTGCGTTAGCGCAGAGTCTTGAAACGGCATATTGCGGCGCTTCACTAGAAACAGCGTATCACTTTTTACATTGTTGCCACCAAATATTATCGAACTGTATTATATTTAAAGAAATTAAATAATGAAGAACCTGCATGAATGTATGT